GAGAGAGAGAGAGCGAGAGAGAGAGAGAGCGAGAGAGAGAGAGAGCGAGAGAGAGAGAGAGAGATGATTGAGTAATGTCAATTCCGAAGTCACAGAGGTAAGTTCAGAGGTCAGTCACACAGAGGTCACACGATGACTCACCGATCCGGTGGGGCATCCCTTGTCGAAGCGGTTGATGTATCCGAGCCCGCGGTCGGGCACCGAGCCGTTATAGCACATCTGCACGTTCTCCCGAAACATCCGCGACACCAGCGCCATCGTGTAGACGCACAGCGCGGACCCGCGGCGCCCCCTGGCGTCCCCCGCCCCCGCCGCCGCCGCGAAAACAACCGCCAGCACTTTCTTCGACGGCGAAATCCCGAAGCTGTCCGCTAGGTGGCGCCCCGGCGACACGAGCACGGCCGCCTGGGCGATGTCGTAGACGGCGCCACCGTCGCCGCGCGCGCGGCACTCTAGCGCCACCTCCGTGTAGGAATCGAAGTTGTCGTCGTGGTCGCAGACGCGCGATATGCGAGTGGCGCGCGCTTGTTCCAGGTGTTCGCGCGCGACGGAGCGCGGCTGGGTCTGCACGAGGTAACTGAAGCCCTCGTGGTGAAACCCCGCGCGGTACTCCACGCCGAACACATCCCGATACTCATCCAAGATGACCACCGAGGAACTCTTGCTGATTCCGCGAACAGCGAGATCGAACATCTTCCCCGCCTGGAGACTCCGGCTCGCGACCGAGGGAACGCGGTGACGGTAGAGCCCCCTGGTGAGCGTCGTTGCGACGTAGAGCACGTTGATGCGCGCGGGGTCCGGGACGCCGGGAGCGATGAACGCTACCGTCGACGCGGTGGCATTGTTCGTGGCGACCGGGTGGACAGTGGTCAGCTCGTTCGGAGCGACGGTTTTCGTGATGTCACTGAGATGGTGGCGGTCGCAGCGTCCCTGGTAGATGCTGCCACATACTATCAACTCACCTGCAGATAGAGAGAGAGAGAGAGGAGGTTAGAGAGAGAGAGAGAGGAGGTTAGAGAGATAGAGAGAGAGGAGGTTAGGGGGAGCTGAGATGGTGGCGGTCGCAGCGTCCCTGGTAGATGCTGCCACATACTATC